GATGTAGACTGCCTCGCGAGCACTGAAGCTCAGCGCTTGAAGTTCGGCCTCCACGGTGTTCTGTGCTTCAAGGGTCTGTGCCTTGGCTCCGTAGCTGGTCAGTCCCCCTCCTAGGAAGAACAGGAATCCGGTGGTAGACCTGCCGTTGTCTGGGTTGGCTCCAAATGACGAGTCAGTAAAGCACGAGAGTCTGAACTGCCCCTTCTTGTACACGATCGGCAGGTCCGGCGTTCCGCGTAGGTACCGTAGTAGGTGCTTGGCCGCACCCATGTGGACCTGTGCTGGGATTGCGCATGCCCGTCTCAGTTGGTGCACAGCGTATGACAGATCGTGACGGGTGCATTGGGCAAGGTACAGGAGACTCCCGTGATGACTCCCGTGATGGCCTGGAATCTCTGCTTGTCCTCGGGTCCGAGTAGTTGGTCTTGTGGCTGCTCGGTTGATAGTTCTGCTCCATACCCGGGGGTGCTGACCGGGTTTGCCTGTTCCATTCCATATCGCTGTAGGATATCTCTCGCGTAGGGTCCTTGCGATATGGCTAGTGTGCCATGTTCGTAGTCCCGCTGCACTTCGATGCCGATTACGCGCTTGACCTCTCCCATGTCTGTCATTTCGAAGCTGTCCATGAGTTCCTTCTTTTTCCTGTTGACGATCTCCTTGTTTCCGCCCGTGATGAGGATGTAATCGACGTAGGTCGCGAGGATTGTGGGTTCGTCCCCGCTTATGAAGATGTAGACACAGGGGTCAAAAGTAAGTGCGCTGCCAGCCGAAGATGATGATTCGGTCATTGATGGCGTCGTTCCACAGTGACGGGGACTGTGACAGGCCGTACAGACTTTTTGATCTTGGACACGAAGCGTGTGTCGAAGATGTCCTCATCCTTCGGTACCAGGTTAATGCGTACTTTCTTGTAGACTTTGTGCTTGGCGAGATTACCCATCTCGGTGTCGATAGCGCTCTTCCACTGCTCGCGTTGTGGTGAGTTCATGGCTTCGGTGTACGTGCTCGGAGTTTTGATCTCTTGGTGTGTCTCCCCCAAGAACCCTTTGCTCGAGGTGCCCATGGCGTAAGCATACGCCCGGACTTCGGCGAAGGGGTCTTCATCCAGGTGAGCAAAATCCGCCGCGTCAGTAGGGCATCGTTGCTGCGCTTGGTGGGTGAGATCGAGTAGTTGATCCTCGGTGAGCTCCAGTGGGTCGGGGTGGCTGACAGCCATGGCAGAGCGGCCCCTGTCGTTCATGTTCACTTCCAGAGGTTTCGGGATGCATGAAGGGTCGATAGGGTCATCTGTGGGTTGGTGAGTGCGCGTGGCAGGACGGGTCACCGTTAATCGACGCATTGAGATCGGGGCTGGCGAAGCGGAGTCCGTGTCTGTTGGCGTCGTGGGTGATTCGAGTGTCGTGTCCTGCGATGTCCTGGATGACGTCGTAGTCCGCGAGTTGTCATTGCTGTCATCTCCCCCAGCAACAAAGTAGTCGTTGTTTTGGCGAAGTTCTGCTCGGTTGACGTTGTCTTGCTGCACGTTGCGCATCTCGTGCAGTAGAAGCTCTGATTGTGTTCCGTAGTCCACTTTGTTGTCTTCGTCGCCCGTAGAGGTACCGCGTCCGAGAAATGACGTGAGGTTCACCACATCCTGTTCATATCCGAGACGTTCATCCCACCGGTGAGGGGGAATGGTGTTGGGCGGAGTCTCGATGAAAGTCACGTTCCGGCTCTCGTAGACCTTGTCTTTGCCCTCCACGTAGATCCGGTACGTCTTGCTGTCCTTCTTGTGCTTCGTGACGTGGCAGTTGTCGCACGGGGATACAGGTCCGTCATATGTCACACCGGTGGTGGGGCTGCGCCGCAAAATCTCCATAGCACTTGGATTGATGTGTNAGGCGGGTCGATTGGTCCCATGTTGTCGAACTGGACCAGTTGGCCTGGTTTGGCCAGGACACGGCTGGTCTTCTTCGGGACGGGAGCCTTCTTGTGCTTCGTGATTTGGCAGTTGTCGCACGGGGATACAGGTCCGTCATATTTCACACCTGTGGCGGGGTTGCGCCGCAAAATCTCCATAGCACGTGGATTGATGTGGCCGAGGCGCCGGTGCCAGAGGTCGGCGCTCACGCTCATCGCCACTGAGCATGTCGCGTGCGGAGTGTGATCGATCTGTACCGCTTCTGGTTTTCCGAACTTCGGCTTCCGCCCTGGTTCTTGGTTGTTCGGGGGTGTCTTGCTTGTCGACGCTGGATCGCCCTTGAATGTGATGGCGAGGGTGCACATGCCTTGGTCTTGAGTCTCTTGTTTCAGAGGAACGACGACTTCTCCGCCGATGGTGAGGTGCGGGGTCTTGTCTTCCAGGACACGTCGGAGGCCCTTCTTGAGAAGGGCCGTTGGTGCGAAGATGTTCCGGCCTAGTCCTGGCACGATGAGACCTTGTAGCTGGACGGGTAGTTGCTGTTCTTTGTCGTCTTTGATGGTGCAGTGTAGGATCCCAGTGGTAGTGCCGTGTAGTTGGCTTTCTCCTGCAACATCGATGATCTTTGGCGTCGGGCGTTCTTCTTCGAGACGTCCATTCGGGATGAGGCGGTTGTCGAACATGGTCTCAGAAGCTCCAGAATCCACCAGTGCTGAAGTCCCAGTGGCCGTTGTCGTGAAAGTGTGTCCGCTTCCCTGCTGCATGTAGCATGGTACATGAATCCACCCTTGAATGCGTCTTCGTCGTAAGAGTAGTCGATCTCTACCTTCTCGGTCTGTTCTGTTTCTTTGGGAGTTTCCGTTGTGGTAGGCTTGGCGTGTGTGTCTCCTGACTGGGTTGAGCAGTGCACGCAGTGTGTGCATACGGAGAAGGTCTTGCCCGTGCGTTCTGGTCGCTTGGCTCCTTGGCGGTAACACTCTTCGTCGGAGTGTGTAGTGGTGTTATCGACGGAGCACCACTTGGTTGCTCCCGCAGGCTTCGTCTTCTTTGCCATATGGCCCGTCCGCTGGCGATTGGGACAGTTCCTCCTGATATGTCCCGGTTCGTTGCACTCGAAGCAGATGGGGCCAGATGTCTTGGTAGCCATGGCGAATCCGCGGCCAGCGATTTGGCCCTTGGTTCTCTTGCGCATTTGCTCGTCAAGGAAGATGTTGCGCATGGTGGCTTGCATCTGCCTTGTTTGTCGAATGATAGGTCGCGGAAAACCATCATCTTGATGTCTTTGTAGTCCTCGGAGAAACCTTGCAAACAGATGTCCTTGAAGCGGCGATCGGAGATGTTTTCCCCCATTGTCTCTAGTTGAGAGCGGGGGCGGTGTTTCGTGTTGAAAAAATCGTCCGGGTTCTCTCCTGGCTCCATGACCGTCCTTTCCAGGTCGTCCAGTTTAGCCCTGATCACTTCATCTGTCACTCGATTGTAGTTGGCCTTCAGTTCCGCGAATGCTGCCTGTCCGTCGCTGCTAAGGCCGGTGTCGTCTTCGTGCTGGTGTTCGGCTAGTACAGCCGGCAGTTCGACCAGGCAGAATAGGATTGCGTAGAGGTCTTCGTTTGCTCTCTCGTATGCGGCGAAGGTGGTGTCCGAGGGATCAGGCCTGCGCATTCCCTTGAGAAGTGGCATGATGTCCCTCCGAGTAACGCCGACGACCACACCCAATTTCTTCATCCAGTCGTTAAAGTCCTCTGGTTTCGTTCCATCGAACTTGGGGAGCACGTGTGGCCAAATGGCTACCCTGGCAGGGTGGCCAAAAACCACCCTGCCAACGCACCCTACCCTGTAAACGGCAGAAGGGTGAACCAGCTGCAGCGTCTATAATGAACACCCTGCCAGGGTCCACCCTGCCAGGGTAGCCCGAATAGCACCCTGCAAGCAAACTGCGGCAGCGATTTCAGTGTGTTGTTTGTACTCGTACATTATTTTGTTTTTCATGTGCCATCGCGATGGCGGGACCTGTTTTTGTTGCATTCATGTTCAACGTCTCGTGTCGTGGCAGAACGCGCCACCACTTAATTGAGAACTTGAGCCCAAAAAATCCAAAATCTAACAACTCAGGTGCTCAAGCAAGACTACACTAAAACCAATACAGTCGCTATGGGGGTACCCCGTAGACAAAACAAGAACAAGCATCGACCAAAAAAAATGTTTAGTGGTGGCGCGTTCTGTACCCGCTTTGATCCACGACTGACTACCGATACGTCTTGCTTGGCTGGAACAGCAGTACCCGACATTTTAAGCATAGGATAAAATAACAAAAGGCCAGGACACACGATGCACATCACAGACAAAGAAAGCCTCCCTTGTCCTCTCAAAAGCGGCACTCAAGAAGTTGCAATCCTCTCCATTCCGCTCAAGTCGGCAATCTTTGCAATATTTGTGCTCCACGAATGGCAAAAAAATACCGTGTACCGTATGATGTTATTTCCCGTCCACACAATGCTTGGTTGCGCCCTCCCCCCCTGCCGGACGAAATATCAACTATATCTGTTCCAACTTACGCACGTGCCTACCGGTTGGTTATAATAGCAGAAGTAAACCACCGCATCGCGATATTGGGCTGGAACCTGACGAATACCCTGACCATAGGCAATCTACGGCTGGGACATAGTCAACCGCCACACAAAGCGCCACGTCCGAGAGTATTCCTAACAGCTTCGCGACCCCTCGCGGAAGCCCAACGTCATGAAGAAGGAATGAGTGCTCACAACACTCAGCCATCACTTCATGTCGTCGACGAATAGGCCCGAGGTCGGCAATATCGACGTGCACGTCTTCGAGCAGGGTCTCTACACGATGAGGTTGCCCTTCCCGCCCGCAAATGGGAGGAGGAAGCGCATGATGTCAGCGTTTCCCTTCCCGTCCGCACATGGGGAGAGGAAGCGCATGATCTCGGGGTTCCCATACTCTGTGAGGATGGCGGAGACATGGCGACGAGGGCGCCATGACCTGGCGTGCAGCATGTTCCACAAAAATTGTGGCCGAACGTAAGGAAGGGAAGGGTAAGTCACGGGTAGGCCGATGGGGTGATGAGCCAAAGAAGCATGCGCATTCCGCTAATTGCGTATCTTCCGACCTACGTCCACGATGCGAAAGATCATTTCTAAACTCCGACGGAGGTCAGGCAAGCTGTAGATTGCCGAAAGGCATACGGCTGTAGCTACTTTGCGTTCATCCCGGGGTGCTGGGCAATCTTTGATCCCGACAACGACTACCCCGAGGGTGGTGGGGTGTTTTCTCAATTTTGCGGATCAAGAACACCGGGAGGAGATTTCAACGTGTTTGCCACTTTTCCGGCCGAATGGGCGAGGTATCTGAGAGGGTAGTGTTGAAACGACAATATACTTTTCTGGTAGATGCTGAGGCATTCTTGAATTACTTCCCGCTGGTTCTATCAGCAGCACAGTTGGTTCTCTGTTCTCTTCACGGTACTAGGTCACAGTAGAAGTAGAAGTAGCCTCCACTTCCGGCGAAAGTATCAATCGGGATAAGCACCCCCTTCCCTATGCTTTTCCACAAGTGCGTCTTTTAGCGTTGCGGGAAAAGCGATGGATCGGAAAACGGGAAACAATAAATGCAGCGGGATGACTCCTGGCCCAGGCGTGGGAAGAAGTCAAAGTTGCCCATGGCACCTTTTAGGCCTCGGTTGGTAGTGTTCAGGGGAAATCTGCCAGGTAAAATGAAGTACAACCTGCAAACACCCATTCTGTCACCTTCGCGAGAAAGGACTCGTGAAGCAAGTCCTGTCCCAAAAGTCGCCATTTCGCCAATAGGCACTCGACGAAGCCAGGCGTTCCTTGGTGAATCGCCACATCATGTCCCTAGGGTGCTAGAATTAGCAACAAGCAACACAGGGCGCGCCCCCGAACAAGTACAATAGAAACATGCGGCTGTGTAAGCCCACATCTGCACTCGCTACCAAGGGCACAATCACCTCATCACCCAAACGGTTCATGTCACAAGCACAATTGAGCAGACCCCCAACAGGCTAACTTCTTTCATCGGAAAAACACAAGGCAACAGCGGGTACTGCAGTACCAACGCTACCTCCGTTCGTCGCTCACATGTCCTTCAATACGGTCTGGATGCCGATGTACATTCTCGCGTCACCTGTTCGTGAGTCTGCGAACATTGCTGTTGGATACATGTGCTGGATGATTTTGTGTCACGCAGACTGGTAAGATAACCGTTTGATAGGGGGCACCGCGATGATTCACGGGGCCCCTCCTTGCTGTGGGAGCCGCTCTTTGAGCACTCCCTCTTTCGTCCGTGTGAAGGACGGTCGTCTACCTCCCGTGAAGTTAATACATCACCAAAACAGTCTCACCCGATAAATAAGTGGCGTAGGCCGCAAACACTCTAGAGTTTTGCCCCTCGAGGGAAGCCACATCGGGATGAGCTCTGCTGGAGACGAAGAGCGCGCTGCTGCGAGCGGAGAACAGATCCGCCCGCCAGTGCAGGAGGGCCGCGACGCGGAGCTTGCAAGTTTGCAACGGCAGATTTCGCAATTGGCGGCCCTGGTGGAGGAGTCGGTGAAGAAGAAGGAGCCTGGTAGCGTCGTGGCGGATGCAGCCAGTAGGGGTGGCTGGGTTGCTGCCCCCAGAGGCCAACGAGAAGAGCCCACGCTGCCGCTCGGCGGTGGCGGGGGATTTCTCCAGCAGCAAACGAGAGATAGTGGGCAAGGACCACGGTCGCTGCTGGAAGGCGGCTGGGCCAGCAGATCGGGAGCGAACCCTGTTGGACCAGCCGGAGTGGGCCCGGGCATAGGACCGGACTACGGGGATTCGAGGGGGTTAAACCCCCCAGGTGAGATACCCGTGATTCGAGGGAATGGAGAATACCT